TACTCTTAAGTTTTTTAATATATTTAAAATTTTTTTTTAACAAAATTATTAAAATATATTTTAAAATATATTTTTTACCTAGAAAGTATATAGCTAAAATTAATATTTGAATTTTTATTTTAAAAATTTCATTTTAAAAAAAATTTCAGGGCAGATTTGCAGGAGAAACGGTTTATGAGATACTAAATTTTTAATCATTTTCTGCTTAATCAATAAACAGCATGGAAGGTTATGCCTCGTGAGCGAATAGAAGTTACAGAATTGCAAAGAGTACTTGAACAGTTGGCCGCAAATTATCCAATTTCTCCTGATGCCCCGGTGCTTCTAAAGGATAAAACATTAAAGTTTGCCGTAAACCAGCCAATCCACCCAGTACCTTCTGGTGCACCAATACTTCCAGAAGATAAATCAATAAGCTTTGAGCAAAGCTCAGTACTTCTGAAATCTGAGAGTGGCCCATCATTTATTCCTCTTGAAAGAGGAATCGATCTCCATAAAAAGAGAGATCACAGAAATGCGTGGAGATGCTTTAGAGATAATGCAGAGCTTGGTGATAACACTGCAAAATATTGGCAAGGTTACTATTTGTGCCATGGATATGGTGTTGTCGACAAAGATGAAAGGCGTGCTATAGAACTTTTTAAAGATGCTGCTGATAACGATCATCCAGATGCACAATTTCGATACGCTGTATTATTACTTAATAATTTAAGAAATGAACAAAATGTCACTAGAAAAGATGAACTTTGTGGAGAAATTTTACATTATTTCAAATTAGCAGCTAAACATATGAACTATGACGCAACGTATCATTTGGGTGATATTTATATAAATGTAAAACTTAATGTGGAAAAAAATAAGGAACTTGGATTAGATTATTTAAAATTAGCAGCGGAAAATGATCATAAGAAAGCAATTAAGATATTAAAAGGTAAAAATTTAAATTATTAATTTTTATGTTTTATTCATTTTTATAAAATTGTCTAAATTATATGTTTGATTTAAATTAGATTTGGAGAATAATAATAATATGGAGTTTTGAGGTACAGTTTCCTTAATTGTTATGTAACATTAATAACGGTTTTATTATATATTACGTAATAATGATGATTTTCTTTTTTTAGTAAATAATAATAATAATGGAACAGGGGTCACCAGCTAGTAAAAGTCGCTATGTAGAGTGAATTCTGAGTTTGAGTTAGGGTTAAGGGTGAAATCCGAGTTTTACTATGTTTTTTATTATACAAAAGCGGATTTCAACCCTCATGTGATCTACATAGCAGATTTCACTCTACATAGCGAATTTCACCCTGTCGTATAATAATAATAATCTGATCTCACCGATTTAATTCGAAATTATTTAAACTTTGAAAAGAGATTAGAATGAGCTTGCTAAGGAGTTTAAAAGTTATTTTATTTTTCAAAACTGTTACTGATTGGATTTTCCAACTACACTCTACTCTCGTTATAACGGACTCTGATATAGCGGATACCTTATTATAACGGAGTAATTTTCTAAAACAATTTAAAATTATTATATATTATTATATTATGCACATTATAACGGATATTTATTATGAATATAATGGGCAAAATCTTTCAGCCCGAAGGGTCCGTTATAACGAGGGTAGAGCGTACAGGCATTATCATATTTGGGACCCCCCACAGCAAAAGGAGGGCTGGGCCAAAAAAAATTTTTTTTTAAAAAAAATCCAATATCTTGAAGAATCAGATTGATTAGAATAAAATTATCATAAGAACAAATTTTCAAATTTTTTGGCCCAGCCCCTCTTTTTGCTGTGGGGGGTCCCATTTATCATACAGATTTCTTGTTAAATTTAATGAACGCTTAAACTATTTGATAAACAGATTACTAAGCTGGGTTGTATTTATTGTTTAATGGTGCGTAACATTATTGTGTACAATTTTTATAGCCAGAATGAAGTTCATCACAACTAAATACGCCAGTCGAAGCAATTTATTAAATAAAATAAAAATAAAAAATAAAAACTGATATTGTTTGCTAGTGTTCTTGCATTTCCCGAATTAGCAAAGAATCACGTTTACAATCGATATTGTGTGATTGTAGCACTCGTGAGTTTATTTTTCAAAATAATAACTATAAATCCAAGGACTAAACTCATATCTGAAACTCATAATATAGTCGGTACTATTACACATATAAGCAGTGTATGCATTTAGGCCTTAAGAATTTTAATAACAATATTCTGGAAATTTGATACTTGGGGTTTCAAAGTTAAAATGCGTAAATCTAATTTTAATTGAAATTGATGACGTATTTATTTTGAAATTAGTGATCCGGCAATCTGATCTTAACTTCAAATTGGACGAAAGTTTTACTTTTTATTTGTATTTGTTTTACGAACTACTACTGTATAAAAATTTTCCAATTTCATGAAATGGGGATCTCCAAACACTCCCATTTCATTTTCCGATTTTAAAATCTTGAAAAACAAATAAGATTTTTCAAACTCTCATTTAATTTCAAAATGCGCCACTTATTTGTTAACTTTGAAACCCCCTAATAAATGAATGCCTTATATTCATCCTTTTCGACTCCAATTCCATTTTGATAACAACATCCAATCCAACATTATATATTCCACGAAAAAGCCCCATCTCTACAGGTTTTTATAATAAATGAATGCCTTATGTTCATCCTTTATAGCTTCAATTCCTTCGCCATAACAATTTCCAAGATTAAATGTTCCAACAGCGTTACCCATCTCTGCAGATTTTTGAAAATAAATGAATGCTTTATGTTCATCCTTCTCAACTCCAATTCCATTTCGATAATAAATACCAACACTATTTGTTCCACTAGCATGTCCCATCTCAGCTGATTTTTGATAATAAATGAATGCCTTTGTTCATCCTTTTCAACTCCAATTCCTTCATCATAGCAATATCCAACGTTAAATGTTCCACCTGAGACACCCATCTCTGAAGATTCTTGATAATAAATAAATGCCTTATGTTCATCCTTTTAAACTCCAATTCCAAAGTGGTAACAATATCCAACATTATATATTCCATCATATCTGACAGATTTTTGAAAATAAATGAATGCCTTATGCTCATCCTTTTCAACCCATTTACCATAAAGATAGCAACTTGCAAGAACAAATTGAATTATAGGATTGGTTTCATCATATAAGCAAAAATTTATGATATTATCTGGATTTTGGTTCTTTTTATTAAAGATATTCTAATGTATCAAGAATTGATCGAGATTTTTTTGCCTTTCAATCTTTCTTCATTATACAGATTACATATTTCTCCAACACTTTTATTTAGAAAATCCTGTGAAAAATCCTGTAAACTGTTATCATCTAAATACAATTGGGAAACATTGTTGGTTATTTGAGTAATATCTGATGAAATATCGTTTTTTATAGGCTTCTTTGCAAATAGGCTATTGTAATTTGACATTTTGCGCAAGAAAAAAGTGTATTACATACGGGAGCATCAAATTTATTAAAGTTTATGTATTACAATATATACAATATAACATTGCGCATTAATTGTTTAGATAGTTACAACAAAAAATACTTTGGTTATTTTTAAATTAACGTTAATTATAGGAAGCTTATTATGTGATTGAGTCGTAAAAAAAAGTGTGTTCTCTGCTTCGCTCCGGGCAATTATTCTTTCTAAAAATAAGCAATTTAGTAAATTTATTTATTGTATGACAGATGAAATTTGTGCGTAGACCACTTGAGGCATGATTGAAATGGGCATAATGGCGAAATTCATTTCATTATCCATTTACTTTTGTCAATAGATACTATTGCTGAAACTAACCAACCAACAATAATAGGTTTTATAAGCAGACACTAATAATTTAGAAAATTTTTAAGATCGAAAACAGAATTAAAATATAATAGCCTAATAATTTTTCATCACTTTTATTCTAACATTAAAAATTTAAATCAAAAAATTCATTATATTTTATACTAGAACTAAAGTTACTTTTTTTTTAAAAAAAAAAAAAGTACTACAGTCAACCCTCGTTAAAACGTATCAACCTAACTGGATTATATTATTATATTGAATAGAATATACTACATTGAAAATTTTTATTTTACTATTATTTAAGATATATCGATACTAAATTTCTATTCATGTTGATAGCAATATTAACGAGGGATTAGATATATATGGAGAATTTAAATAAGTGGAGATTTGTACTATAATTTAATTTGATATTAATGAAAAGTTGATATTATATTAACGTAATCAAAATACCTTTAAATTTTGATTGAATTAAGGATATGTCATTAACAAGATTATGCGACTATATAGAAACTTTACAAATAACTTTTACAAATAACAGTATTGCCTTAGAGGTGTCTAAAATATCTGCTGCTAATCCGTACAGCCTTCAATAGCTATGAGTTGCTTAGATTTTTTGAGTGGAACGTTAACAATCTTACTTTGCATTTCAAATTAAACCTAAACAATTCTCACTATATCAAGAATCTTGAACAAAACATCACGTACGTAAATATCAATGAAAGTTTTTTTATGAAAACTAGAGTCACAATTAGAAGTTTAGAATTATAGTTAAAAGATTTCTTTTAGGCGTTAAATATTTTTACTGAGACTGTCATAAATGGGTACAGAATTTAAGATAATTATTCCGTTCTAATCTAAGTCTAATATGATTACATTATAATATGATTATGTAACGTCAATAATAACTTTCAATAACAAAAATCTTGAATGTTTTTTTTCTAAATATTAATAAAGATACGTACAAATATTGATTACGTGAATGTTATGAATTACAAGCAAAAACGTGCACGTTTAATATTTTTAATAAAATCTATAAAGAAGTAAGTTCATCATTATTCTTTATCTTCATCCGATTTTCTATTATATAAACGTGAAGTAATTGTATTCCATTGATCTTGAAGATAGTTCCAAACATTAAATAAAGCCTTTACTGATCTTGAAGAATGTGGTAATTTAGATTCCATGACTTGAACCTTTAATATAAACAATTTTTAAAAAAAGAAAGAATAATTTAAAAAATCGAAATCAAATAGAATTTAAAAAAGAAATTAGAATAATTAATTGTTAATTAAAAAAACAAACCTTAAAACAAAATTGTTCAATAAATTCATCAATTTCTTTTAATTTATCTTCTAATAAAATCAATTCATAATTTAGTTTTCCTCTAGCAGTTGCATCACTATAAATTTGTTTTACTGATTCGGTTACTTTTTTTTGTTTAGATAATATTTTTAAACTAAATTCTTCCGTTGACTATGAGAAATAAATGAAAAAAAGAATAATATATATAAAGATAATACAGTATGAAAACATTGCTAAAACATTAATTAATTTAGTTTTATTTACCTTGAATTTTTGATATCTTTCTTCATAAGCATTTGATAATTGCTCAATTTGGTCATCATATTTTTTAGCGGTTGACTATAAATTGATTAAAATAAATTACTTTAGCTTAAAATGAGAAATTGCTAACACGTAAATAGACTATTGAATCAATGTATAATACTTTTAAATTTTTTATTAAATCTTCTAATGTTGCCTCCCGTCCTTTAAGATTTTTATAGACCATATATGTTTGAATGTCAATCTCAAATGTTCGACTATAATTCATAATTTAAGAAATATTTAATTAAGAAAATATTTATTCAACATTTTGATTTTTTAATCTAATTTACGTACCTATATAATGAACAAGCACCTTGCTTTCGAGCCAATTCAGCATTTGTAAAAGATTTCGATCTCTTATGATGACATATCGGCAATTCTCGTGATTTAATGTCATTGTAGTCATTAAAAGAATATCGCCTTCGTGGATACCATGAATTTTCAGTATCGCTGTCATAGGATGATCCATCATCGGAAGAACTTGAATCTGTTACCTGTTGATCAGCCGTACTTGAAAAATATTCAGAGTTATTATGGAGATCTGTTACATCTACATATTAAAAACAATATGAAATTAGTGTGAAATTAAATAAATTAAATAAATTTATTTAATTCTATTATTAATTCTATTATTAATTTGAAAATTATTTTTCACCTAAGGGAGACTCTAGATGTGGTGCGCTTGTTCGTGCAGCCAATTTTGACTTATCATACGCTTCATGATCGCTAAACAGAAGGCATTGTTATTATTTAAATATATATATATATATATTTAATCAAGTAAAGATAAATAAAATACTTTGATAATGGTGGTGTGAGATACATAGAGGGATCCAGTGGATATGTATATGATTTTGAAGAGCCAGCAACTAATTTATCTTTTTCTTTTGAGATTCCACCTCGTTCTACCAAATTTGATAAAGATCTAAAAACAATCACAAATGAAAATTTATAAATGCTTACAAAAAACAGACAAATTTACATAACTAGAAAACATACTCTGTAACTCCTTCTTTAAGCCCTCGAACACCTTCTCTTATAACTTCACCAGTTTTTGCCTAAATATTGAACAATTAAATTATTTTTATAAAATTCTGATATTGTAACAAACAATATATATATGTATAAACATACTGTTCTTCCAGAAACGCCACGAAGAAAACTTTTTCCTAATTCTTTTCCACCATGAAATAAATCCATTTCACCAGATTCATCTTTACCCTTCCACAACCATTTTGAACCTTCATAATGAAAATTTTTCCAAAATTCTTCTAAATTATAAGACTCAATATCGATCGAAGTATTTAAATGACCTTTAATGATAATAACAAACATTTAAAAAAAAATAACTAAAATAATAAACAAATTTTATTTTTAGAAAATTTTTATTTAGCCATACTTGATATACTTGATATTCCAGGTAAATTTTTTTCAAATTGGTTTATGACCTAATAAAGCATAAAAGTAGTGAATAAACATATATAATTAATGTGTAAAAAAAGTTGTCAAACATCTGATGAATGATACTTATTAATATCATACTATGCTAAAAATAGATGAGATATATTTCGCCAAATCAACATACCTTGCGCATTTTTAATCCATCTGGGTATCTTGAACGATTATAAGTTTCATTAATTTTATTAACAATTTCGGAATCTAACTTATGAGATATTGAATCTCTTTTTGTCGATTTCTAAATTTCAAATAATTCAAATATTAAAATTTCAAATGATAAAATCATAATAAAAAAAGGCTAAATTATAGTCTCAATTTTCTACCTGAAAAGAAATAACACCATTTATAAATGTTTCAGTATCTATGAATGGATCTTTTCCAACCTATATAAAAAGCAGCGATATGTTAATGTTGAAAATCTTAAATATTTAAGAATACAAAGAATGTCAAAAAATGCTTTTAAATAAATGATTAACCTGATAATTTAAGTAATGAAGTTTATTTCGAATGCTTAAAACCATTTTAAAAATCATAGCAACCAGATTCGGATCAAAGATATTATCTAGATTCTAAATTTGAGATTATAAACTTATAAATCGTTTTTTTAATAATATAGAAACCTGATTTAGTAAATAATTTTTTGACATACCTCGAAATTAGAAGCATGTTCATTTTTAAACTCTCTGAGACAAGATTCGGTAAAATTGCATAATAACCCATCAACAAAATGTTGTGGAAAACCAAAAATCAAGTATAAAGTTGTTTGAACATATTTAACTAGTTGAATCACGGCGAATTCAAGTGGTATTTTCTCTGGTACAGAATATAGTTGAAAGAATTTTTGTTTTTGTAATTCACTAAATTAAAAATTTTTCAATAACAAAAATTAACGACTAACATGCATTAAAAGGAAAAAGTAAATAAATAAATAAAAACATACGTTGGAGGTTTTAAAGACAAGGCAGTTTTACCGCTGCAACTAATTCTACGCAAATTTAAATTGAGACGGAATTGTGGATAATATACGTTATAATCACCCTCAGTCACCAAAATAGTACTTAATGATGAAGGAAATGAGCTTAAATTTGTCACAAATATTGTTCCTAACGTTGTCTAGATGAAAAGATAATATTAATACTGAATATACAGAATTATAGCATAGTTAACTTGTTCTTGCGCATCTGACTTACATCTTTTAACCGAGTTTTGTCTTCTTCCAAATCCGAAAACAAAATTTCAAGTTTTTCGGGATATTTTTCAGGATATGGTTGAAATCTTTCTTCTTCGATTAATATAACACATACTTTAATCTAAAAATAAAAATAAGTTCAATTTAAAAAATTCAAAAATTCGACAATTTTTAAATTTTATAATTAGTTAAATTTACCTTATGAGTAGGTTCACCTGTAAAAACCGTAACTGTATTATACGGTCTTCGATCACAAGCCCTAGTACGTAAAAAAAAGGCACTTTTAGTACATACAATTTTTATGTAACTATTTATTGAAACGAAAAAAAAATTACCATTGCTCGACTATGTAAAGTTGATATCCTTCTAGTATTTCTTCTTTGAAAATAACTTGCGCACCACATTTTTGTGCTAGGGTTATAATGCTTTCTCGTTCTGAAAATACAAACCGACCATATCTGTTAAAAACCATTGTTAAAAAAAATTCGAAAAAAGATGACGGACAAATGCATGTTTATATATCATATATCGTACATGATGTCACAGAACTTTTTTAAATTTCCTGTTTTAGAAATTCTACATTTACTATGCGTATCACGAGGGAGGAAATTCATATGATTGGATTATTTTCTAGTTGTACAAAATCCGAGCTCAATGCGTAATGATTAACACTGTCAAACCCTGTTGTAACACATTCCAAACTTTATACTGTACTGTTATGTTATTGCTTAATGATCTAAGAAGTGAACAAAATGGCAGTAGAAAATATGAAATTTGTGAAGAAGTTATGCATTATTTCAAATTAGCAGCTAATTATAAGAACTATGATTCAACGTATTATTTATTTAAATGGAAAGCTTAATGTGGAAAAGAATGAGGAGCTTTGGGTTAGATTATTTAAAATCAGCGGCTGGAAATTATCATAAAAAAAGCAATTAACCCATTAAAACGTGAAAATCTAGATTTATTATGTTTGTTTTATTCATTTTTATAAAATTATCTAAATTATATTTTGGTTTAAATTAGATTTAGAGAATCGTAATATATTAATAATGATGATTATTATCTTTTTTTTTAGTAAGAAAAATAATAATAATCTGGTCGCAATTAGACTCGCCGGTTTAATTCGAAATTATTTAAACTTTGAAAAGAGATTGAGCTTGCTAAGGAGTTTAAAAGTTATTTATTTTTCAAAAGTGTTAATTATTGACTACAGGCCTTATCATATTTATTATACCTATTCTAGTTAAATCACTTAAAACTATTTGATAAACGGATTACTAAGTTGAGTTGTATTTTTGGTTTAATAGCTGCGTAATATTATCGTGCACAATTTTCATAGCCAGTATGAAGTTCATCACAACAAAATATGCTAATTGAAGCAATTTCTTAAATAAAAATACAATCAAAAATAAAAAATAAAAAACTGATATTGTTTGCTTAGATTCTTGCATTTCCTGAATTAGCAAAAATCGATATTGTGTGATGGTAACACTCATGAAGGAATAAACTGATATCTGAAACTCATACTATTCGTCATAAATGTTGTCACACATATAAGCAGTGTATACATTTAGACCTTAAGAAGTAATTTTAATAACATATTCTGGGAATTAGAATTCATTTTTACTTTGTACACATATACTTTAAGGTAGGTTTCATTTGTCACAATGATTGATTATTAATTAAATCCAAATTTTTCACGCATTTAAGAAGATGCATTTCGACGAACATAATGTGTACACAAGTACCAAATTTAGTCCTATAGTGATTTTTTTTCTTTGTACATGAATAACCAAAGTGCAAGACGTACCGTATAAGCGCATAATAACGCTATTCTGAATCTTTAAATAATTTGAATATAATAAGCTTAGTCCAACCTCTAAATCTGAAATCTATTTATTATCATATTAAATATGATTAACAATATATCTGGAATTTATTCGTCTTATGTTATCTTTATCTCAAAAAAAAATACCTCTTTCTAGTTCTATTATGATGTCTCAAGAAAGTTCTAAAATTAGCATAATGCGCATTCCGAAATGATGCGCAGGGGCGCGCCCCTGAGCGTTATTATGCGTTTATACGGTATACATGCGCAAATTTAGCTCCGATAGTGTATTTTTTTTGTTGTTACATAAAGCGTGATTGTATAATGCTCAATAAAATGAATATACGTTGTCAGATTAGAATGAGATTTAAAATAGACAACTGCGCACAAAAATACTGAAATATAATCCCTACACTACGTTTCACGTACTGTGCATTTTGCACGAGTGAAATATATAAAATTTTAAAGGCAATTTTAATATCAGATATTAATAAATTCTATTGCAAAGAATCTAATTTTATAAGCTTGCAATTTAAGTTTTTTGCAAATTAATAAAATAACTAAATGGGAAGTTAGCTAGGTAAATGACCCTCGAGGCTATGCAGAATTAATAAATAAAGTTTAAATTTATTAGGCCAATGATCCAATCATTTACTAATTTTCGCCTCCAATTGAATAAACTTTTATAGAGCTTAGCGAACATCCAATCATTTACTTATTTTCGCCTCCAATTGAATAAACTTTTATAGAGCTTAGCGAACATTACAAAATAAATAAAAAACTTTTTAGTTTTTAGCTATTACATACTATTATTTAAAGCCAGTTATTTATTGGTTATAAAAACTACAAAAGATTAGAGCCAGAAGAAAAAAACTAGTGAATAAAACTTTTCATTTATTATAAAATGCACATATTATATGGTTTATTTTGTTTTTTAGATTTTTCTAAGTTTTGAACATAAAAAGTTTCAACCCAAATTTTTCATAGTATTTAGGATTAGGATTAGTGTGGAAGGGGTTTTTTAGGGGCGTAGGGCATTTTTACTTAGGACATCTTGCATTGATTAATTAGCCAGTTTTGAGTTAATACATTAAAACTCAAACTTTTATCGACTCATAATATTAAAAGAAGTATACAATATTGGGCAGACAAGTTAACGTCACTCCATGTGCTGCGTAACAGCACATGTGAAAAAAATTTCTTTCACGAATGGTTACGTAACCTCATGCAAAAAAAAAAATGCACATGCCGGATAATGAATACTTACATGGATCAACTAGATATATTACCTAACTAGTTAGTTTAGCACTTACGTACGTACAACCAACTTTCATTTTTAATTAAATACAGTACAGTATAACCAGAAATTTGCTGAGGTGCAAGCTGCATGGAAAATACAAATTTTTGAGGGTGCGTTTTTTTTGATCATTTTTTAGTGGATTTAAATAGGAAACTTTAAATTTTGGTAATTATTTTTGAACCCGGACTAATTTTATATGACGTAAATAACGTTTTAGTCTGGATTCAAAAATAATTATCCATTTCATTATGATTTGCGACAATTTCCGCTCCGGGACGTAATATACGCCACGCGATGCTATTATATTATTTTACCCTTTTTTATATGTTCATTTACGACTTATAACGCTTAATTTATTGCAGAATTAAGGATTATTTGGTTTTCTTTATCCGTTAAAAAGAAAATCTACACTTTCAAAATTGACTATATCCATATCGGACTTTATGTTAGATTGGTCCGGCCCTTTTTAATTTTAATATTGTTAGCATATAAGGACTTTTATTTGCCTTTTAAAGACCGAAAAATAGCCTCTTTGTGGATTCTCACGATATGCATCCACCTCCGGAAGAAGATTAGAAGAGTACTGTATCCATCAATGCAGCAGCATAGTTGTACAACATCCGAGCTCATATTCAGGATGCGTAATGATTGGCAATTTATAGACACTGTACCCTGTATTCCATTCAAAACCGGTTTAACGCATTCCAAACTTTCCGATACTTATAAACATTAATAAAATAACCATTAAAATAGCGATAGTTTAAAAAAAGAGCAAACCACTTAATCATGACTACTAATGATGATGGCTCTAATCTTAATGAAGCTGCGGCCCGTGCTGCTTTAACAGCTGTCGAAATCGCAGGTTTATACGTTCCTTTTATTAATATGGTGAAAATTTTAATTGATGAAGTTAAAAAAATTTACGAAGATGCAGAATGTAATAAAGAGATTTGTTTGATTATGGTGAATAGAGTAGCAATTGCTGAATGTGCTATGAATGAAATGTTAGATTCAAATAAGAATGAAAGTTATTTTCAAAAATGTTTTTTATCTTTTAGAAGATTTGAAATTGTTTTAAAAAATATTAAGGATTATACCAATAAGGTTTCAAAAATTGAAGGTTATAGAAAATTTCTCAGCGCAACAGAAATTAAAAAAAAATTTGATAAATTAATACAAGAATATGATATATGTATGAGAGAGTTACATTTTACTATGGCAATTGCTAGCGAAAGTCAACGAAGTTTAGAAGCTCAAAAAGTTGATAATTCTCTAAAGAACGTTGAAGATGTATGTATAGTTATTAGAAATACTTATTTAGAGTTACTTTTTCTTATTACCTTAATATTAATGTTTTTCTTTCGTTTATCTACTTTTAGACTCTCAAGAATGTCAGTAGCCAGCTCGATGTGGTTGTTCAAGGCATGAACATTTTAAGATCCCAAATGGATGCACAATCAAGCAATATTCATGCTCCAAGATTTCCTCAAAGTCATTTGAGTGATCCTTTTGCTTTTAAAGAGAGAGATATTCGTGGTTCAGAATCTTATCCTACTGTTAAGAAATTTTATAGAAATTATGTGGATGTTGCATGTAAATGTGTCAAAGATAAATCACAAGATTTTGAAATTGAATTAGCAATCCTTGGAATATTAGGTCAATCACAATACGTTCTCCATTTCTATGGTCTTTCAAATATTGAAAACCGGGACGTTATGGTCTTTGATTGGGCTGAACATGGAACTTTAAGAGAGGTCTACAGCTCTTATGATATTCCTTGGACAAGAAAAATATGTATTCTTCGAGATATTTGTCGTGGTCTTGTGTTCTTACGAAGTGCTGATGTATTTCATCATGATATGAGATGCGAAAATATTTTCGTATGTATAATAATAAAATAAATATTATTTTAGCATTTAACATTCAACTAGTTACAAGTATATTAAATTATAGGTACTACACAACTTGGATTCAAAAATTGGAAATTTCAAATGTGCCCGTAAAGCAGATGCGAAGACAAGAAATCTTGAACACTTAGTCACTAATATTATTCGTTGGATGGCTCCTGAACAGATTAAGAAATATAAAGACAAAAGACATGATGACAAGAAATATCATTATACATTACATTGTGAAATATTCAGGTATTTATTATTTAATTTCATCTGCTTTATTAAGATTACATATTTATTCAAATTATTTAAATTATTCTTATTTTTATTTCTTTTTAATCAGTTTTGGAATGCTTATTTGGGAACTTTGTTATGAAAAAATGCCTTATGAAAATCGAGATATTCAATATATATCAAATCATGTTTTAAGTGGTAATCGAGAAAGACTT